TGGAATTAAGAAATCAACCCCTGGGGGTTGGAGATTGTTGGAAACTGTGTAGTCGCTGAAGAGAACTGTGGTCTGTCCTTAATAAGAAGCAACTCCCAGAAGAAAGTATTGAAAATGTTTGGTAAAGGTCACCACAGCAAGCAATTCTCATCTTGTACCTGCATATTGGTATTCAGGTTTGTTAAAGGCTCGGCTTGCATGGACTAGTATCTTTTCCTGGACTCCTTCAGCTTGTGACAAAGCAGTTCCCATGCCAGTGTCACTTACACTTCTTGTTGAATACTGATGTAACTGAGGGTCAGTATACTCCAAGACAGGGGATTGCATCAACCATTGCCTTAGCTCTACACAAAGGCATCTTGACAAGCTGTGGTCCAGATGAACTTCACCTTAATCAGAGAGCTTAGGTAGGGGATTACAATGGTAGCAAAATCTGCCGTTAATCTTCTATAATAGGCTAAATCCAAGAAGCTGCACAGTTCTGTTACATTTTGAGGTACTGGCCAGGACTTAACACCTTCAGGCCTTCACTTTCTTTTGATTTGGGCCTATCTCCTATGTGGAGATCACATCCCAAAAAGTTCACTTCCCTGAAGAAAAGCTGACATTCGGCAGGTTTAAGTTGGCTTCCTTCTGCCTCTTAAACACTCCTTTCAGTTTCTGCAAGTGCTCCCAAAAGGTTCAGCCTATCACAATGATATATCATCCAGGTATACCACACAGGATGTCTCTTGCATACCTGCTAACATGATATCCTACAATCATTACATAAACCAAAAGACATAACATGAAACTCAAAAAGTCCCTTTGTAGTGTAGAAAGCTGTCTTAGCTCTGTCATCTGGGTGCACTTCCACCTACCAGTACCCACTACTGGATCAAGAGTGGAGAAACACTGAGCTTTGGCCAGGAGGTTTAGCATGTCATCAATTTGTTAAGGCATCCTTAACAGTAACATCATTCAGTCTACAGTAATCCACATAGACCTCCACACCTCTCCCTTTCTTCTGCACCAACACCACAGGAGCAGCTCATGGGATGACAGAGGGCCTGATGCCTCTTCCCTCCATGTCTTGCAGCTGCTGATCAAATTCTTGCTGGAAATGGATGGGTTATCTTTGAGGCCCCTGTTTGACATTGCCACTATTAATCCAGCAGTTTGTTAAATCTAGGTTGTGGTCTCCAAGCCCGAGTACAAATCTTCATACTCGAATAGGACTTCTTGCACCACCCCCATTCTACAATGACTTAACTGGAACTCCCATTCAAATTTTCTTGCATTGCACTGAAGGTTATCACCTGTCTCTCAAAGATTTTGGTTCTTGTCTGAAATCAGTACTCTATAGCAACCAACCTCTCTGATCCAGGGTCCTCCTGCAAGATGGCCACACCTGCCTTAAATGTCCCAATTATGGTGCCTGATATACAACCTGTTCTGTTGATGAGTTAGGAACAGCAGTGGAATTTTACCCCTGTGGCTCTTACCCATTGCAGTTCCCACTAGGAATCCCAATTTATCAGTGAACTTGAATTCATATTTTTCCTGCAGTACAGTGTGAAGAAGTCTTCTCTTCTTCCTGGAACCATCTTTTTAGTTTGCCAGTGATCTACTCACTTCTGGGAGGTATTGTTAAATTCTTCTCTGGTACCACTTCACATGCCCTCACTTAGCCATTTGTGGTATACCAAAGGAAATGCCTCCCTAGAAAGGTAAAAGAAACATTAACACTGTGGTAATGTATATTCAGCACCTTAATTTCTCCCTCTCACCTCCAAAGGTATCCCCAAACAAGCCTTTAGTCTCTAAAGCACTCAAACCACAGCTTGCTGCTGCTCTCAAGTCTGAGTCCAGCTCCTTCAGTCCACGGTGCTGGCTGACTGAGGCAGCGAGATCTCCAACTCCACTGGGTATTCATCTGTGTAAGGCTGACCAGGTTCCAAGTGCTCTTCCCTTTACTCCAGCCTCAAGCTTCTTCTTCCTTTTTCCCTTGCCCCTCAACCCCTGGGGGATTTCTGGGAGTCGCAATCCAAATTAACAGATAATCACAGCTCTACAGGCTGTAATGTGTGTAACAGCAGGTGGATCCAAGGGGCATTCACATTACAGTACTTAAGGATTTCTAATTATGTATTACAGGATTTCTGCTAATGGACTTTAGGGGTGCTGACAGATGTGAAAAAAACAAAACAAACCACCCTGCACTTTACTGGAAGAGATAGCATGTTAGTTCAACCCAGGTCTTCAGCATCTGTATAGATCAGGTGCTTCAGCAGGGCTTTTTGGCACTTTTAACTAATACCCGATTGAATCAGTTTTAGATAAAAGTGCTAAAAAAGCCCTGCTAAAGGACAGGATTTATACAGATGTTGGGCAAGCAGAGTTCAGCTAGCACAATACCTCTTCTGATCATGCACTGGGGTTTGTGTGGAGGTGCAAGGAGTTTAAAGTAAAATGCCATTTTTTTTATTTTTTTTACATCTGTAAACAACCTAGATCTCCAACCTGGACCAGGAAAGGTCATTTGAAGTCTTCATTACAGTATGTATGTGGTTCTATTAAGATTAAAGTAATTCAGTTTGGATTATGGTATCTGCAAACAACATCCCAAAAATACTAAAGACTACAGGGGTTAAAAAGTTAAGGGCATTGTTATGTGGATTGAGCAAAGACAAGGTACAAGCTTAGAGCAAGGGAACTTAACTGAACTATTCATTTTCTTGCTCTGATCCTCATAGACTAACAAAATACTATTTACATGTTGCATTCATCTGCTCCAATTTGTCTGGCACCTATGCAAGCTCTCAGACGCAAGAAGCACTATCTTCCGCCTCGTGCAGACATTCAGTTTGTCCTGGGAGAGTCGCTGCTCTTCCAGGAGAAACCATGAGTGTACAAATGTTTATAGTTTTTCTCCTAGAATAAAAATGGATGCTCCAAGAGAAAAACAACCTGGGAAAAACTAAGGTTTAATCACTCCCAGGAGAGTTTGTTCTGGGAGAGTAAATGTCCATACATTCTGTGGCTGCTTCCAACAGAGAGCATAGTCTCCAAGATTCCTCCCTCCCTTCCCAGGGAGACAGTGTGTTGTTTATTGGACTCTGCTGCACACACTGTACTGCAGGAAAAATACAAGTAAACCATGGACAGTCCAGATCAGCCAGTGGAAGCTGCCCTATGTATTCCTGCCATCCATCTCCAGGCAGGCTAAGGGAGCCTACAGAGCTCTCCCACTCTTCAATGCCTCAGCATTAGAATGTCTATACACATGGCTCTAGTTGGACAATGCTAAATATAATCTTTTACTGCAGCTCCACTATCACATTAGAAACTGAAATGCAGGCATGTAGAAAAGACAGTATATTTGCATGATCTAGAATCATGTATACACAAGAATCAACTTTCCTTTGTTTCCTAGGGGGTGGGGAACAGGAAGAGGAGAGGTTATTAGCTAAGTCTAGGCTGTAGAAAACTGCACACTTAGACATACACCATTCTGGCTTCAAAATGCTCTCATAGATGTGGCATCCCTGCTGATCTTGCATTTGTTCTCCATGAAGGAGCAAGGCTCATTTGCAAACTAAAAGGAATTAAAAGTAGTGGTTAAGATGCTACTCCCTTGAGAGACACGTGAATTCTGCAGTGTATTTTTTAAATGTTCTTAGATTTAAAGAAAACCAAGGTTTAGGTCCAACATCAGCATCCTTCAAGGGAAAAACCTCACTACTGGACTTCCCAAAAATAACCTAGCAAGCTCTAGGACACTCTTCTTACCTTAGAGTGCTGAAGTAAAAATGAACTTCATGCTGCCATCACCCATCCTCATGCCAGGATTGGGCTCTGGGGTCCTGTATTGCCCTCACTTGGTCTTGCATGCTGGAACTGGGCTCTGGGGCCCTGTGCCACCTCTGCCCAGTCCTGCAAGCCATGGCCATGCTCTGGGGCCCCACACCATCTCCACCCAGCCTCACATACTAAAATAGAGCTCTGGGGTACTGTGCTACACATGTGGGAGTCGAGCTCTGGGGCTCCACAGTCTCCACCTGGCCCCTTGTGACAGGATTGGGTTTTGGGGTCCCACGATGCCTCCACTTGGCTCTGCAAGCTAGGAGTGGGCCCCAAGGCCTTGTGTCACCTCCACCTTCCCCCCCCCCCCCCCT